TGAGAGAGCATCCTGGGTCATGGCCTTGGGATGAAACCGTCTTGAGATGAAGGTCGGTACTTTGGCATTCTGTGCTGTGGCCATAAGGTTGACTTGGGGAAGTCCCTACGATGGACCAATTGAAGGAATACCTTCCTGGAGAGTAGCCACTCTGTTTCCTCTATCCATTGTTTGCTCAGGAAATCTGCTACCACATTCTCTTTCCCCGGGAGAAAAACAGCACACAGACCTGCCAAATTCGTCTGAGCCCAAGTCATGAGAGGTAAAATCTCTTCCCTCAGTGCAGTGCTCCTGGTACTACCCTGGTGGTTGATATAGGCTGCTGCGGCTTTGTTGTCTATCCGAATCTTCACCCATCTGTTCCTCAGATGGCCTTGAAAGTGAAGGAGGGCCAGAAAGGCTGCTCTCAGATCCCAAATATTTTAGGGTAATTGGCGGACATGATGAGGCCATGTTGCTTGAACAAACTGTCTTCCGAAATGGGCAGCCCAGCCTGACTGGCTCGCATCGGAGGTTACTATCCACCAATCAATGTTCCGTAGAGGAAATCCCCAGGATATATGATTCCAAGACAGCCACCACTGGAAGTCCTGCTTCAGATGTCGTGAGATGAAAATGGCAGTTTCCATTCTTGAGAACTGGCGTTGAAGTGGTCCAGCAGGTACCTTTGTAGCGGACGTATGTTCCACTGAGCCCATCTGACGAGGCCTATCGTTGATAATAAAGTGCCTAGTAACTTCATGAAATCCCTTGCTGGAGCCGAAGACCGTTGACAAAATTGTCGCACCCTGTGCAGCAGAGTCATCTTCCTTTCGTGGTCTAAGGATACAGCTGCAGTTATGGTGTTGAAATGAGCCCCTAGAAAAGTCAGCTCCTGGAAGGATGTAGTTGACTTTTCTCTTGGTTTATCAACAAGCCGAAATGGGAGAGTGTTTCTAGAACCAGAGACCGATGCTGAATCAACAGGTTGTAATCTGGAGCAGTTATAAATGTCGTCCAAGTAATGGAAGATTGTGACTCCTTGTTTCCTCAGCAAGGCTATTATTGTAACCAGGACCTTCGAGAAAGTTCATGGCGCAGTGCTTATGCCAGACGGCATGGCCTGAAACTGGAAGTGATGGTTGTCAACACAAAACCTGAGAAATCTCTGATGAGGGCTGGCAATCGGGCTATGATAATATGCATCCCTCAAATCCACTGAAATCATCCAGTCTCCCTGATGAATCACCGGTATGATCGATCTCAAAGATTCCATGTGGAATTTCCTGATTCTGAGGAAGAGATTGAGCTGGTGTAAATGCAGAATCAGTCTCCATTTTTTACATGGAAGAGAGGTGAATAAAAGCCTTGAAATCTTTCCTCTTTTGGTACCGGAAGTACCACTTCTTGTTGAAGATGGGATGAGACGTACTGTAAAAGTGCCTCTAGTTTTTGAGGGCTGGAAGGTACTCGTGTTCTTATGAACCGCGGAGGTGGAATAGAGTCTTCGAACTCTAGGGTGTAGCCGCAAGACACTATGGCAGTTCTTCCTGAAGTATAAGAGTCTTGCACCTACTATGGAAGCCTGGGAACTGTAATCTTCAGAACTGTTTATTAGTACGAAAGGAAGAGGAAGGTATCTTGCCTGTGGTAGCTTTAGCTGACTGAACGCTTCTCCAGGTATTGTGTCTAGCATATTCTCTACCTGGTCGGTAAGTTTTACTCTCCCTATAGGAATTAGATTCTCTGTAGGGCCTTCGGTCTGGAAGAGGTTTCCTTGGTCTCTTGTCTTGAGGCAGAAGGGCCTGCTTTGCATCCGCTGCCCTCCTAATGGCGTCTTCCAAGTGTTTGCCAAAAAGAACATCCCCTAGAAAAGGCAAGGCACATAAATTGCGTTTAGATGCAATGTCAGCTCCCCAAGATCTCAACCATAGGGCTCTTCTTGCACATACCTAATATCCCATAGATTTAGAAAGTACCCTAATAAGGTTTGTAGAGGCCTCCGAAAGCCCTTCACTGGCCAATTTCACTTCCTTTAGGGATTCCGAGATGTGATGTCTTCTAACACCTCTATCCAGGTCTTCTTCGATATCCATCACCCATACTTTCATGGCCCTTGACATGGCTGAAATGGCTACTGGATGACAGCCTAAGCCCGCTGTGACAAACAACTTTGAAAGGTTGGCATCAATTCTCTTGTCCATAGGATGACTAAGAGAAGCATTACTATCAATAGGGAGAGTGGAGTGCTTGGCCACCTTGATAACCGGTGCATCTACCTCATTGATTGGATATAGCTTTGGGAGGCGTGATTGCAAGGAGAATCTCTTCTCTGGAGTGGCCCATTTAGTCTTCATAAGCTCCTTAATAGATCTATGTACAGGAAATGAGACTCTTTTGCGGCTCAGATCCCCCAAAAATCTTTCTGATGTAGATGAGTCTTGTACCTCCTCTGGAATCTCCAATGTTCTCCTGACCAAAGAGATTAGATGCTCCACGGTTCTAGAGTCTAAGGGGCATTGACTATTGGAGGCTTCCTCTTCACTGGAGGAAATTTGTTCCATCTCCCAGGTGTCTCTAACAACTCCTTCTTCTGATGATTCTGACCCCATCTGGGAAGAATCTTGTCTGGGTCTTTTGCCTCTAGTAGTTTTGACCATTCCTTCTGTCACTGCCTGTTTAATCCAAGTGGCAATATCTTGTGCAGAGGTTGAGGCCTGGGGTGCCTGATGCTGTTCAGATTCACCCGCAAGTAGGGCTAAGCATTTTCTGCAAAGCCTGCAATTCTCCAAAGGCCTTGCACCACATCCTGGGCAGACCGCTGGCTTTTCCCTTCTCCGTGATGGAGATCTAGGGCCCGACCGGTCTTGAGGGCTGTAAGGACAGAAGTCATAAAGAGACTGTACCCTCTGTGCACTCTTTAGTAATATTTCCAATAAATGAAACAAAAAAGTATTGCTCACCTATGACCTATTGCGGATGACTTGGCGGAGATAGGAGAATGGTCCATAATGTTTCTATGGGCTAAGGATGAAAGGTTGCTTTAATTCCATAATGTATGTAACATAATTTATTTCATAATGGGAAGCAAATTCCCTCTCTTACCTGCAGCAGGCTAGATTTCTGGAATTAAGAGCAAAAAAAATGCATTCCAAATCTGATCTTGCAGTGCAGAAAAAACTGACAATCAGTAAAAGCCCAAACAGCTTCAGTTTTAAATTTTCGCGCCTTGCGACTTTAAATCTGTGCGCATGCATGCACGGCCAGAAAAGAGACCCTACGGCCATCTTTAGAATGGGCGAACTAGGGTCATTCACGGCCATGCTATTTGCCCATGCGCACGGCAAATACACTCGAACTGTTTGCCGTTTGTGCCAAAATTTGACTGCTTCCTGGGCAGGGAGGGTGACCTGCCCAGGGTGAAGACTACAACCATAGTCACGTGAGCAAAAAAGAAAAATTTAAACAGCTTAACTGTCTGTCCTTGGCTAAGAGGACAGGAAAATAAGACTGAGGAACTGGGCTGACAGAGAGCCTGATACCTGTCCTCTTAATTGTTTAATGGAAGTTTTTCCTGTCCTATTGGCTAGAGGGAGAAGCTAGCCCATAGGTAAATGCTGCCATGATTAACCAGGAAATATATATAGGTCTATGTATGTGTAGGCACATTTGTGTATTTGTGTAGGCACATGTATTGGTGCTTATGTGTGGACGTATGTATAGGTGTGCATGTACATATATTTGTGCATTTGGTTGTATTTATATGTTTATTGTTGTATGTACTTGTGTATGTACTTGTGTATACTTGTATACTCTGGTGGGGGCTAGTTTTTATAAGAAAGAGAACTTAATGTAGGACAAAATTCATTTAAACATAAAGCATTACATGAGTCCAAGTTAGCCAATTTTAATATAGGCTAGCCATTTATGGCACCTACAAGCGTGAGCCTTGGAATCAATGTGCATTTCTTCAACTTGCTGGCTGCTATTTGCCTGTCTGGGGGCAGTCACAGCCATAAGGTATTAGAATTGCGTGTATTAGAATTAGCCTCTACCCACATGGCTACTTTAACTAAATCAGAGTAATTGAGTCCCCTCCATTCAGGGCGAGCTGCCTGAAGGGCAGTACGTAAAGGAGGGTGTAAACCATCCATAAAACAGTTAACAAGGTGTCTGACAGATAGTGTCTGATTCAGAGTATTCTAATGATTCCCAGCCTATCTGAAGGCTGTCAAAAAAAGATTTCCACTGATTACTCTTTACCTTGTACAATATCAGTGAGTCCCACCAAGGGTTAGCACATTCACATCTGGGACAAATCCAGTAGGATTTTTGAGTAACTGGATTAGAAGTGGAGACAGGGACTTGAGGGGTCTTTTTGAGACACGACTTAGGGTCACCTTCACCCTTACCCGGGTAAGGTGGTGGGTTGTATGATGTACTAGGGGCTATAGCTGTAGAGCTGGATCCTAAGGTGCAAAACATTATTAGTCGGGTACCCCATTCCTAGTGGTTTATTCACAACCACATTTAGTCAAATCTACTGCAGTATCAAACCATTTCTGGACGACTTCAACAAAATTATTATCCATTAATAATTGGCCATACATTCTTTCTAAACCTGTGGGTCCAGGGAGCCTTCAGAAGGCATCCTAGCTTTCTTTACATCCTGCCTCTTTGCCCTTATGTTGTTTCACTATGGTTAGGGCAGTATATTCCCCCTGAGTATTCTGTGAATTCCCCATCAAAAATACTTAAATGCAGCTCCTCACTTTAAGTCAAGACAAGAATGTACTTAAGTAGTGTAAACACTTAGGACCACTAGTGGAATTTATTTACAGAACTTTCCTTCATTTTAAACACAGGTGCTCCTGGTACTACCTGGGGAATTCTTATTCTGAACAGGAAATAAACAACTAGGCAAATAATAAGAATAACTTGGACCCCACAGATGTAATTTTTAGTAAACTACTTTCACAAAACATAGTATGTCCCTTTAAATGTGTTCTTGGGAAATGACAATTTTTAAGTACAAAACTTACCCGGACACAGAATAAGCACTGCTCTGAGAGTTAAGGTAATAGGTAGAAAAAGAAACACTTTTTCATACCTTTCTGCAGCACTCGTTCACAGTCAGAGAGGCACAGATTCTCCAGTTCAGGATAAGTGAACCGTCATTCCCGGGACTTGCGGCACCAAATTTGTCATGGATAAATCATCCTTTAATTATCTTAAGGGGAACCCAAATCAATTCAAGTGCTTGGAGAAGCAATAAGGTGCACAACATGTGGTGATAGTTGTGAATCCAGGAAGAATTGCTTCTAGCTTTAATTGGGTAGATCAACAATATACAGTAGAGGATATGTGCTTGGGTTCAAGGAAAGGAATGTAAGAAGAGGCATATTTCTAAATGTCAAAAGATAAGCAGTTTACAGAAGTACTCCGGTGGGGGCAGGTTTTTATAAGAAAGAGAACTTAATGTAGGACAAAGTTAATTTCAGCATAAAGCATTACATGAGTCCAAGTTAGCCAATTTTAATATAGGCTAGCCATTTATGGCACCTACAAGCTTGAGCCTTGGAATCAAGGCACATTCCTTCCACATGATATGGCAAGCATTTGTGGACTGGCTGAAGATGGATGTTCAATACTTAAGGTATCTATGTGCCTCACAGGTTCTCAGGCCTGGATATGGCATGCAGGCTCAGTACACTTAAGGTCCATTGTTCAGCAATTCCATTGTCTATTGTATGCTCTGATTCGCTTTTCAGAATTAGACCTCTAGTTTAGACATATACATTAGACCTCATGTTTTGGACATATATTCTGGGATTTGCCAGTGGTGTTGTATGCACTAATGGATGTTCCTTTTGAACCAGTGGAAGAAATTTACATCCCAATTTTATTTCAAAAAAGTCTTTATCTACTAACTCTAGTTTTGGCTACGTGAATGACAGATCTTAAAGCACCCTCAGTAGATGAACCGTCTACTTCCCTCTTTTGGGTTTGAGTGGTTCTTCATCCTAGACCTGAATTACTTCCTAAGGTAGTCATATCATCTCATATAATCTCAACCAGGAAATTATTATACCTGTATATCTACCAGACCCATCTTCACTAGAGCAAGAAAGATGTCACAAGCTTGACCTGAAGAGATACCTTTCTGATTATATTTACTGTACCACTGCATGGAGAACATCAGCTGTTTATAAGGCCTAGGGTTCTTGCAAGGGAGAAGCTGCTTATGTTGCCACTGTCTGTTCATGGATTACTGTGGACATTTCTAAAGCCTACAAAGCCATGGATGTTTCAGTTACATAGGGTATCCCTGCACACTCTTCTAGGTCAATTTCTACCTCTTGGACTGCAGAGGCAAAGAGTATTTGTAAAACTGCTAATTGGTCTTCACTAAGGATGTTTGGCCTTTCAGTTTTGAATTCTTGTTCATCTATTTAATTAAAATTTATTTGGCATCACTTGACCTCCCTGTGCTTCTTACTGCTTGGGTATTCCCATTAATTAAATGCTGCCATGATTATCCAGGAATAGATAAAATGTATTCATACTTGCCATAATTTTCTTTTCCTGGCTATTATTCATGAGAGCATTTGGATTTTCCCTCCCTTTTCATTATTTGGATTTGTCTTGTTACTTGACTGGGGAGCAGTGTCTGATGAGGATAGATAATTGTTTAATGGATTTTTCTGTCCTATTGCCTGGAGGGAGGCGCTAACCCAATAGTTAAATGCTGGTCTGAATAATAGCCAGAAAATTACAGTAAATATATGAATAAGTTTTCCTTATATTTTCTCTTCTTTCAATGCTTTCTCTATGCTGACTGTCAGATGAAAGGAACAAAACCCGTATCAAAGATTGACAGGGAGATAGAATTGAGTCACCCAGGTAATATGTCTGAAATACATATTTGTTAAATTTAGGGGATATGTAAACATAATATTAAAAATCATGGGAAGTACTTTTTCCCTTTAAAGAGTATGTCCTGAATTATTTATTAATGCACATCTAAAAAGACAACTTTTATTTTCTATTTTATGCACATTATTAAATATTTTCCTAAACAGTATTTTTAACATTCCAAACTTTTTCACATGGAGACTTAACAGATTCCAAAATAATGAAACCGCATCTATTGTTATTCTTTGAGAATAAAATTCAGCTTGAATAGTATATTTATTTTAAGAATATATGGTGTAAAAGTTCAAGTAATTCTGTTTTCCAGATCATCTCCTCCTCAATGATTATTCTTTGGACGTTTTCATGGTGATTTATGGCAGCGAAATCCCATGTTTTAACCTCAAAGAATAATGATCTCAAACTATTTTTACTCTAACATGTAAATGGAAATCTACACGTCAAAAAAGGTCTGAAAAATATGTCAGTAATATCAGCATGAAATTTTGATGCATAAAACAAGTATTATCAAAAATACAAATCATTAAGCATACTTAAAACCATGTAAGGTGTTCTGTTTTGTCTCTAATTATGTGTTACAAGCTCCTTGATCTGATATGATAAGTTTATATGGAAACCAGTGAGAAGAAATTGAGGTTACCTAAATGGGTTATTTGCTTTACCATTTAATTAATTTGCTCCTTTTTATATTAGCAGTAGAGGCTATTGACATTCGAGTTTTAATTTCCACATAGTTTATTTATTTACAGATTATTAACTTAGTGGTTACTTGGACCATTGTTATAGCCACGAGTTCCAACATGGCTAGTGCACTATGCCCAGGTGCAGAGGTGTAACTAGAAATAACTGGGCCCTGGTGCGAAAATCGCCTTGCCCCCAAGCGTCTAAGCACTTACCCAAGTCCCTCCATGCATCTCATACCCCCTTTTTGCCCCCCCAAACCCCTTCATGCATCTCATTCCTCCCAGCCCCCCCATGTGTGTCATTGCCTCCGCCCCATGTGTCCCAGTACGTAGTGTCTGTTTCTGTGTGTGTGTAAAGGATGCGTTGTGTGTTTCTGTGTCTGTAAGGGATGCATTGTGTGTGTGTGTCTGTGTGTGTGTGTAAGGGATGCATTGTGTGTGTGTGTGTGTGTGTGTGTAAGGGATGCATCTTTTTTTTTAAAAAGGAGCATTTTTTTAATATTTATTTTGTAATGCCATTAAAAATATATATATTTAGTATATGTACCCTCCTTGTGTCCTACCAGCATCTAGGGAGGGGGCAGCATATTCCCTGGTGGTCCGGTGATTCTGCAGTGGATCTCTGCCTTTACGTCTGCTGGGTGAAGGCTCTCCCAGCACCACGTGTAATCGGGCGTGGCCATGGTTACCGCGGCAACGCTCTGAAAGCAGGGACTCAGTGCGGAGGTGAAGGCAGAGAGCCTCCTTATCTTCCTGCTGTGCAAACTTTGCAAAGACCCAGGAGGGAGATCAAAAGATCTCCCTGACCGGGTCTGTGTACATGTAAGGGGCCCAGGCTCGCAGAGCACTCAGGTGGCCTGGGCCCCTTACAATTGAAGTGGCTGTAGCCCCCGACTGGCCCACAGTTGCAGGGATCGCAGCTGCAGCCAGGCCACCTGGCGTGAAGGGCCCGGTCGCAGCTTTGACCCCTGCGACCGTTTTAGGTACGCCACTGCCCAGGTGCCATTTGGAATGATCAGCAGTAATATAGTATGATTTATGGCAGCTTTTGAAAATAATGACGTTTTCATTTGCTCAGACAGTTTCAAAGTCATCTTTGTGTGTTATTGTTTAAACTAAGACATGAAGTCTCCCCACACACTACATTTTCTTCTGCTTTCATTTTGAGCATGGAAGGGTAAATTTTTCTTTCCCTAGAGATACAGTGGGCTTCCTGGTGTTCTAATGGAGTTCCCTAGCGGTGGCCCAGTGGGCTGTTAGTGTTCTGGTCTCTGACTGGGAAGGAGCGTCAGCAGAGACCTGAACCCAGCCACAGGTACAGGCATGCACAGTGAGCAGCTCAGGGCTGGGAAGGGAAATCCATAAATCTCCACATGTATGGGCAGCAGCTGCAAATGAAACACGTTTGCTATAAATAATTTCATTTAAAATTGTTACAATCGGGAATACATGATTGCAGAGTATGGGAACATTCCCTGTGATTAGTGTATACATGACTGACATAGTAAAAGGGTCAATGAGGTTCATGGTGCTTGTGTTTGTAAGGATTTAGTCATGACAAGTCAATAATCTATTTCATATGATATGGAAAAAAATATGTAGCATGTCAGACCTGCTTAATTTATGTATTGTGATTGTGATATAACAGCATCATTTGTCCAGAACAAGTCTAAGAAAAATATACATACAATATATAGAAAATAGGAATAGTTAGAAAATATGTAAAGCCTTCAGATTATGTAGAAAAGCAATGTTTCTATGACAGTGTCCATAGTACTTCAGCTGTGACCAAACAGGCAGAAACTGTCGGGACGGACTAGTGGCCCAACACACAGAATTAAGTAAAACAAGTAACAAATACAAACAGTAACAACGTATTACTGCGCCTTAGAATGGCCAGAATTAACATAATAGAATAAACAGTAACGAGCCAAGTTCAGGAATACAGAAAGGAAAAAATACTGAAAGAACAAAGTCAAAGGGCCAGGGATACCAGAAATACGGGAAGTCAAGCCAAGCCAAGATCAAAAACCAATAATCAGAATCAGGAACGCACTCTCGGATAACCAACAGGATGGAAACCACGACAAGGCACTGAACAACTGCAGGTTTGAGTTTAAATAACCTAGTAAATCCTGCTGTTGGTCAATTTGGGTCCCATTACCCCAGAACGTGCGTGCACAGCGAAAACGATCACATCACTCGTGACATCATTGTGGGCAGCGTTATTATTTAGCGCCATCTTGCAGCAGCCGGCATATCTCCCAATGCCAGACTGGCCGCCGATTCACAAGCTGCATAGAGAGAGAGGCTCTGGTGGTGAGTAACCTCTCCCTCCTTTAGTGCGACCACGCCAATCAGGCACGGCTACACTGTGGTGCCGATCGGGCACTGTGATAGTGCACTGAGGTGTCGATTAGGCACCGTGACAGTAGCCCCCTCTAAGACCGCCCACCGGGAGGGCAGGACCAGGCTTATTAGGGTACCGGGCATAGAAAGAACGAAGAAAGCATCCAGCATGAATGCCAACAGCAGGAACCCATGAGCTATCTTCAGGACCATAACCCTTCCAATCCACCAAATACTGCAAAGAAACACGTAAGAACCTGGAGTCCAAAACAGAACG